GCCTTAGTTCGCCTGAAAGCTTTTCATACTAACAGGATTCGGAGACGGTTTACCTTCGAGCTAGCTCGTTTTCTGTCGATGCGAACTCGCGATGTGTTCAAACGTCATGGGCTACTGATCGACCAACTTCCACCAGGGCCAATCGGTTGGGATCTCTGCGACAACGATAGTGGTGAGAGTAGTTCTTTGGGAGTGACGAAGACGAAGGAAAGGGAAAGGGAAGAAAGGAGGACGAAGACGATGATGGAGCAGGAAAACATGGAGGAGTGGAATAGAGCAAAAAGTTTAAGCCAGATGACCTTCCCCACAACAAGAAACGTAGGGCTAGGGAAGAACTGCCCAGAGATTCTTCTTGTCGAAATGAGGATCAGAATGATGGTAGCGAAAACAAGGAGGACACTGGTGAAAGTACTCCTAAACGAACTCGAGTACTAGGTAATAGCCTTGGTAGACGCGTGCATTTTTCGTCTGTTGCTGCTATTTTGTTTTTAATCCGAAGGATAGTTTAGCCTCCCCCATGCTGCCCCCTCACGGGGTCCCAGTTCATGGTAGATAGAAGTGTTTTGTGTTTTAAACCGCACTAAGACTGACGTCTTTTCATTGGTCAGCCGGTTAGCGCGGTCGATGCTAATAATAAAACGCACACACACCCTCTTCCTCTTCAGAGTCTCCCTCTTCACGGCCATCCTGTTCTAAGTCTTGCGTGTCATGGTCTTCCTCAGCTTCCTCCTCGTGTACTTCCTCCTCCTCGTCTTAGGCGGCTGTCTCGTCCTCCATGCGCACGGCGCGCGCGGGTTGCTTGCCCTTGCCGCCCCCACCCTGGAGCGTTGCATCCGCAGAGTCCTCTTCCTCCACACGCAAGGGTGCCGCGGAAGAACCTCCATCCGACTTGTCTAGAGCATCTTGGAGTGGGACCATTCTCTGCTTGACAAACGAACGGGTGGTCCCCCTCGGCGCGTCCAATGTGTCGGCTGCTACTGTTGCTGCTGCTGCTGCTGCTGCTGCTGCTGATGTTGCTGTGGTGGTGGAGGAAGAGTCGTTTCCCTGCTTCGTGGCAAACCCCGAGCCAACCCGAGTAGGGCTATCATTTTGCGCACGATATCCACCCTGCGGCAGCGATGAGCCACGCAACACCCGACCTGATTCTGCCGGTGAAGCAGGGAGAGGTCCCTTGCCACCGGAGAGCCCCGCATCACAGTCTAGCACGGCGGGGCCTTCCTGGACGCCCGGCGCATGTAGACCCTCAAGCGCGGCTGCAGCGAAGCTCTCTTTTTCCCCGCCTGCAGCAGCTTTGCCCTTCCTCAGCCAAGTCCTCCTCCCATCCCCTGCTTCACAGGGGGGCTTATTTCCGAGCGCGGACCGCGTGGCGCCCGCGGACAGTGTGTGCAGCTGCGAGTAGGGCCGCGTGCGGGAGGGCGAGGAGGCAGACCTTGTGGTTTGGTTGAGAGGATGCTCTTGCCCTTTAGGCCGCCGCTCGCTTGACCTTCTTCACCACGCCCGATCCAGAGGCCACAACAACCTCGACTTTCAGCGACGAGCTCGCTGCCCTTGTCTTCTTCGTGGTGGTGGGTTTCTCTGTGGCCCACCCCGTCATGGTCCTCCTTGATCGATTATTCGGGTGGCTCATTTGTGTGCGATGGGAGTGTAGAGCAGCTCGGCCATTACGGGCCGTAGGGGCAGGTAACGTCGTGCAGACGTGTTGGAAAACGTGCTGTATGAGAATACCCTTGCTCCGTTATGAGCCAAGGTCCCTGAAGTGGTGAATAACCGTTCACCAGCGGAGGTAATTTCGCTCTTATTGCAATGTGGCAAGGAATGGCCAAGCGTGGCTGGCGTTAGTCAGCCTTGCTAGGGTGAAAGGTGAGAGAGTGAGCCTTGGTGGGTTCCCTCATGCTCCGGCTGGTCACAGCAGGCGGAGGTTCTTTCTTTGTAAANCAGGTAACGTCGTGCAGACGTGTTGGAAAACGTGCTGTATGAGAATACCCTTGCTCCGTTATGAGCCAAGGTCCCTGAAGTGGTGAATAACCGTTCACCAGCGGAGGTAATTTCGCTCTTATTGCAATGTGGCAAGGAATGGCCAAGCGTGGCTGGCGTTAGTCAGCCTTGCTAGGGTGAAAGGTGAGAGAGTGAGCCTCGGTGGGTTCCCTCATGCTCCGGCTGGTCACAGCAGGCGGAGGTTCTTTCTTTGTAAACATCTGCAGACCTGTAGAACTGTGTTCGTAGGGTCTCCGATCTTCACTGGTTGTATGTGCGTCAGTACCATTAGGAAGATACCTATATCCAGGTTTCCACATGTATACGTGTTGTATTAATCGGGGGCGTGCTCGTGCTCGTGCTCGTCAAACCATCACGGTATCGAGTCACGCCTTCATGCTTTCTCACACAACGAATCTCTCTGAATCCTCACCAAAAGCCTCTCACAACCAAGGAAAATATGTAGAAAGTTCCTGTTCCTCCGCATCTCATCACTGCAATATTCGTACGTACGTACATAACATCTCAACCATCATACTATGCTACGAGTATATCGAATAGCCCCCCTGCTCGTATGCATCGTCATGCTCCGGCAAAATATCAAAGTCATCCTTTTCATACCAGTTCATCCCAAAACANTATACCAGTTCATCCCAACACACAATCAAAACCAAGAAAACGAAAATACAAAATCCCAACACCAAAACAATACGTCCGAAAATAATCAATCGCATACTAACTCTTCCAAATCACCAACAAAAATCCCTAACACTAACTCTCCAAAACACTACCATCTCCACTTGACTCCCTCCATCTCTTGTTCAAGGCCGTACATATCCTCTCTCTTCCACTCCGCGGAAAAACACGATTTGATCCGAAAACACTTCTTTCACTGCAAATTCATCACAAAGTCTCTGTGCAACGCAAAAGATTCCTTGCTGATAGCCTTCGTCAAGAAATCTGCATGCTGAAACTCCGACGTCACATGCGTAATCGAAATCTCCTTCCTCTCTACCAGTTCCCTGATAAAGTGATGCCGTACATCGATGTGCTTCGAGTTTGAGTTCGTGATCGGGTTGTGCGCAATCTGAATCGCTCCCTGATTATCCTCGAAGACCGGAATGCACGGCATACCTGCATCTGGCAACATAAAACGCCAAACCTGCCTCAAGAAAAGCACTTCCTTCAAGACGTCGGCAATTGCCACATACTCTGCTTCCGTTGTGGAGAGCGTGACGCACTTCTGCGTCCTCGAAAACCAAGTCACACACCCACCCCCACACATCACTAGTCCTCCTGAGACCGACCTACGGTCTGCTGCCTTGCTTGCATAGTCAAGCAACACAAAGACCTGCATGCTCATGCCAGTGACCACTCCCCTCTCAAATGTAATCCCCATCCAACTCGTCCTACGCACGTACCCTAAAATACCAAGTGCTGCCTTCCAGTGCACCATCTTGGGAGACGCGCAATACCGCGCTACTGCTCGTACTGCATTCGCGATGTCCGGCCTGGTTTGAGTGGCCAACCACATCAGAGATCCTACCAACTCGCGAAACGGGACATCAGCACACGCTTCGTTTTCGTCAAAGTCGGTGAGCTTCACGCTCACAGGCAAGGGCACACTCTTCCCCCACTCAACGCCGTACTCTGCAGCCAACTCTTCTGCAAACCTTTGCTGCGAGACCCTCCAAAGGCCTCTCTCTAGATCTCTCTGGTAAAAGCACGCGGAGTACCACCTCAACTCCCCAAGGTTTTTCACGGGGACCATCTCGTTGAGGTCACTGCCAAACTTGTCACATCTCTCCTTCTGCCCTACGGCAAAAATGTCATCCACGTGGACCACAATGATCATCATCACACATCCGTCCTCCATCAATCGGAAAACACATGCATCCGCCAAACATTGCACAAATCCTAAAAGTAACAAACACCTCGTCAGGTGCGCATGCCATTGTCGTGATGCCTGCTTCAAACCGTACAGACTCTTGCATAGCTTCACGATCAGTCCAGAGAACCTACCACAACCTTGTGGGAGACGCATGAAAACATCCTCATCAAGCTCAGACTGCACAAATGCCTGCTGAATATCGAAATGGCACAAGTCAAGGTTCTGCTCACATGCCAATGCTGCCAACAAACGCACACTAGACACGGATACGGTGGGTGCAAACAATTCTCCAAAATCAATCGAAGCCCTCTGCATGTCCCCTCGCGCTACAAGTCGTGCCTTGAATTTCGTCGGCCATCCGTACTCGTCTGCCTTACAGTTGAATACCCACTTGGCGTTGATGAAGTTTTCTACTGGTTGCTACACCGGACTAAAAGTACCTGCATCCAGCAGACCGAAAAACTCACGACCGACTGCATCATCCCACAACTCTGAATGTTGAGACCGCATGGCCTCCTTGAACGTTTTCGGCACTCGGAGGTCGCTGGCGAGGCAGTGAGGAAGGTCCGGCGTCTTGTCAGGAGGGCGCTTGGCACGAAGAGTGGCTTCCACATCCTCGCGGGTGGCGAACATTGCTGCGAACATGTGCAGGCCCCCCGGCCCCCCAGCTCCTGCGGCCCCCCCGCTCCCATGGCCTGCTAAACTCGTATCTTGCGGCTGTGGGGGAGCGGGAGGGGCGATGTTGGCGGACGGTGGCAGGTCTCGACGTCCTTGATCGACGGCTTCCCGGGTGGCGAGCGACGAGACGAGCGCATCCTTGCCCATCATCGACAGCAGCCCAAGGCGGTGTTGGAGAGCGGTGCCGCCACCTGACGGCGACGGCGGTTGCTGTTGCTCATCCATGAAGCGCACTCGGTCGCCGCGCGTACGGCCATGTACCCTGGTTTCTTTCTCGCCCAACTCTCTGACGGCTCGCTGTGAAAGCGGCGGGTGATGGGGAGCGGGAGCGACGGCGCTTGCGTGCGGTGGACGGGGCGGCGTGGCTGCGGTGGACGGCGGTGCACTCGACGACGCCGTGGATATCGGCGACGGAGCTCCGGACCCTGTGAAGATCGACGGAGAAGCTGGCGGCGGTGAAGCGGGCGGCTGCGTAGCGGTAGTCGCTGTGGGCGGGGTGTGGGTGTACGTCCGCGATGTCCATGGCGGTGGCGGTGCGGCAGCGGCTGTAGGAGCGGCGGCGGCCGGCGAGGGCGCCGCGGTGACCGAAGAACCCCCCCCGCTGGCCGGTACCGGCGCCGGCACGGCGGTGCGGCGGTTGATCCACACGACGTTGTTGGACAGGCAGATCCTTCCGGTGTCGGCGCGGAGTACGACGGCAGTGGCGTCGGAGTGGTTGCGCGCTCCGTGCAGGTAGAAGCAACGAACGGATTGGACGTCCGCCTTGCTGGCGCGCTTCACGCGCATCATCCCCTCCTGGAAAAAGGGGACGACCTTGAGCGGCGGTTTGCGTCCGAAGAAGGCCTCGAACGGCGACATCCAGGCCGGGTTGGCCGACGTCGCGGAACGGTTGAAGCAGCCGGAGGCCCAGATCGCCGATGCAAGCCACAGCCGGTGTCCGTTGGCGTCCATACCGGGGATGGAGGCGAGGTCGAAGTGGCCCATGGAGAGGACGTGGCGGCGGGCGGCGTGGCCCCCCTTCATGGCTCGCCAGATGGCGCTTTCCACGACCGCATTCTGCTTCGGGGTGTCGGGCGCGGTGTACTCGCGCCGGATGCCAGCGGCGTCGCAGAACGCGACGAAGGCAGCACTCGTGAACTCCCCCGCGTTGTCCATGCGGAAACACCCCAGAGGGCCGTTGCCGTTCAGGTCGGCGAGGAAATGCCGCGTGTACGTCAGGGTGTCACTCTTGGCCCGCATGCCGTGCGCCCGTTGCCACGGCGACGCACTGTCCACGAACATGATCAGGTAACGG